GTTTTTATGTTTCTTGTTTTCTAGTCTCAAAGAGCTTTTGTTCCGTACGTCTACTTTCATGGTTATGTTATCATCATATTCTTTACTCATACCGAAAAGAAATCCAGCGAATCTGAACTATTTAGCGACTGCAAAACTTAAAATTTTCTTGTTTAATATATTCAGTCAACTATTATTTATTACTTTGGTTAGTTACTAAAAAGTAAAAATTAAAACTACAGGTGCTCTGATAATTTTAATTTTAGGCTTTAGAAAAAAATCTCTCAATTTATTTAAAGCTTTATCCCGACGAAAAAGAGTGGAATCCTATACTTGTATAACGTTTTTTTGGAAATTTCCTACCTTTTCTTAAGAAAGGTTTTATACAATGTTGTCAAGAGACAATTTATGAGCAGAGTACAAACAAAAAAGACAACCCCGATAAAACAGAACAAGGCGAGAGCTTAAGAAGTTGTCTTCTGTCGCTGAGTGGATATATCAGCTGGTGGATGAGGCATTAATTTTCTTGCCACGTAGATCTAGCAGAAGAGAACTCAATTCTTTTTTAAAAAAAAAACAGATGATGGTATGTCTCATCAAAGGACGAGCATAGCACACATATGAATGGAACAGATAAGCCCCACCATCTCAACCGATCTCTCGTTGGTAAAAGACTCCAAAACTCGTCTCTAGTTGCCTTAATTGCAATAGGTTCAAAACCTTATATACCATATATAACTTTTTGAACCAGAAGTGAAGATAGGAGGAACTGACTTTTGTGCCAGACCACATAGTAGTACGAACGTTTTTGCTTGATATTCTGATTTTTGCATACGAAATTTCTTTCACAACTACATCCCAGTATCCCACAGGTTGTTGTTGCTGTGGCCACGTCTCCTTCATGCTCGGTCATAATCATAATCGGCATATCTATATGACTGAATCACAAAGTTTGAGGTTGCCGGAGGCTATAGAAGACGAGTTTTCAAGTCAATGAGCGATCCATACAGTTGCACCAGAAGACAAAAGTCTTATCACAAAACACGAGTTGTAACTTCTTCTTTTTTTTGACTAATCACGAGTTGTAACTTGATTACACATTATTCAAGTGCGGTTGCTTACCCGGTATAAGATCAGTGATGTTGTTTCAATGCATATGCCACAGGGTCTAATTAAGTATTATGTTGGGAAAAATAATATCTATATGCTTGTGAATTCGTCACAAATATTACCAGATACTGGTTCTAAGCCTACAAAACTATGGGCAAAAGGCCCAAATTTCCTTGGTTATAAGAAAAAACACTGTGGGACGAGCGACATCACCACCAAACAGCTAGACAACTACTTGAAATTGTCTGACATTGCCTGAGCCATTAGATACGTTGATGTGCTTATAACTCATAAGCAACCAACAATGCTTACAATGATACAGTATAATTTGGGGTTATAGAAGATTTAGTTTAATTATGTATTATGTATGCCTATATTACTAGTTAATGGGTCAACAAGATTTATGATAATATATATCTGGAACTTCAGCCAGCCATGTGTTGTTTTTGTTGGCACTAAACTTTTTTTTCTTTTTCTTTTGAAGTTAACTTGGAATCTAAATTACACTAATCCTCGTCGAGTTATGTTTAGGATAAATAGGTTTTAGGTTTTACTAATGAGTTTAAGAAATTTATATACCTATATTATAAGGAGATGCAAGTTTGTTGCATAATTTATGAGTTTTAGAGATCTTGTGAGAGCTTAAATTTTATTTTCTTAAGCTAATAAGAGAGTTATTTTTATTGATCTTAGGGTTCATAAACAAACGTTAGAAACAAAATTTGGTATCAGAGAAAAACAATGGGAAAAATCACGACAACGGGTTATATATGGCGAAAGTGAAAAAATGTTGGTGCATCGTCCATTAACTGTCCGATACTTAGTTCAACAAACTACACCGTCTAGGCCATCCCATTGAAGATCCTTCTTAAAGTACATAAGGCGTGGGATATAGTCGAAAATGATACAGATGAAACCGATCGAAACAACATGGCTATCGCCTTGATCTTTCAATCAATACCCGATGCCTTTATTCTACAGGTAGGAGACCTAGACAATTTCCTGCACCTATATATATCATGTTACTTTTCACCTACATCGTATTGCAACTCCATTTCCATCGTTTTTACGCATTGATATACATTGCACACTAGAATATTCTTTTCAAATTACGATATACTTACCAAGAACATTAAAACAATCCACCTGTTAAATATATCTATGAGAGTAAGAGATATATGTATAATCGTAGAAATACAATTTTTCTAGAAATGTACATTTTTCGGAAGTATATACAAGGTACACGGTCAGTTATATGGTTTCGAAACATTTTGATAAATCAAATAAACAGGTAAGTTGGTTCGGTCTCAATTATGTTTGTTGGGCGACGTGTATAAATCTCCGTATAGGTTAATTGCATGACGCATGCATTTCATCTATTTCTTGCAAAAGTTGCTTGGAAGTTGAGCGAACCCTTTTCTTTACTTCCACGTTTAATAATTATTATAATTATTAGCGTTACTTATTAGTAACAATGATTCTCATAGAATCATATCAATGTCCATTTCTAAGTTGTTCATGATGGAACTTGATGTTCCAAATAAAATCATCACTCTTTTACGTAAATTATAATACAAATTTAAATAAAACTCTAAAACATACGGTGAACAATGAACGATTTTGATCTCTACATGCAACAACTGACTATTATCATTTGTTACTATATATATAACTTTAGCATAAAATTAAAATATAATAATTATCATTTATTAAGGTTTCACGGACATATATGAAACACAGAAATTTACTTAAATAATTGTTTATCAACAAGGAAATTTAAATGATGTTTACAAAGATTACTTCTACTTTTGTCTTCTCAGCAAGGTCGGCCTGAGATTTTAGGGGCATATGGCGATTAAAAAATTTTTGGGGCCTAAAAGATTTTTTGGGGCATGTACTCATGTAATTTTCTTCAAAAAATTTGGGAGTTTAAGGCAAATATTTCATTAGGCATGCCCCAGGACCGGCCTGCTTCTCAGAGATATCTGTAAAAATATTGAGGCATTTTGATAATGTGATAACAGTATAAATTTTTTATTAATAATAAAACAAGGTAACAATTAAAAATCTACAATTTTCCACATTCAGTGGGAACAAACGACACCGTATTCTTCTCAAGATCATGAACTACATTAAAATTCTGCTGCTGAACATTTCCAAAGATAGACATCCCACTAGAACTCCCCATGGCCAAACACAAAACGCCTGTACTCGAATCAGCCACCATGTAGTTCTCTCCCGGGAGCTCCAAATCCGCCTCTTTAAAATGAAAAACAAGTTTAGGAACAGCAATTTTCTTCGCATCACTAGGTAACGTGTAGCACAAGTCAAGCCCTGTTGATCCTGAGTCATCCACCGGTAAACTCATCCGAGATGTAAACTCCTCACTCAAGGCCTTAAACGCGTCCTCCTCGAGGTACGTGATGGTCGTGCCAGAGTCTATGATCATACCTCCTGTTCCATCTTCCGCTAGTTCAAAAGTAGACTTCTTAATAGGCAGGCGTTTTGATCCAACGGTGATGCCTTGTAAATCAAGGTAATAGAAAGAAGGCTGGTTAGGGTTTCTTAGCAGCGACATCGTTTTGGTGACTTCACCTGCTAAACTTGCACCTGTTTTCTTGACGATATTCGAGGCTAGAGAGCCAATAAACAACGAGCTAGAAGCTTCACTATCCTCAATAGAGGTTAAGCAATAAGAGAACTTAGTCTCCTTGAGCTGAGAGATAAGAGAGAGTGGTCCACGTCCAAGACCTACAAGACCTGATCCTTGAGAAAACCCATCTCCTTTGTTCTCATCTCCACACCCAAACCCTATACCCGAAACCGAGTTCTCATCATCAAAAGTAAACGTTTCCATGGCCAAGATTCCTTTTGTGGACGAGTAATCTCCATATGTATACACATACTCACAAGCACCACCTTTGTCTTTGTTGCAACTTGACCGAGACAAGGCGTCACAAAGACCAGAAGAGCATTCTACTTTTGAGTAAGAGGAAGATGTCTTAGGGTCGAAGATTGGAGTTGGTTGGTCGAAACATTCGGTGCAAGGCTTGCATTGTGTCCATATAAGGTCACTCCCGGTATCTACAATAGCCGAGTACTTAACCGGAGGGTTTCCTATAGCTAAATCCATAAGAAACTCGCCGCTTCCTCCATGAGTAGGTGCTTTAATGTTGTTGGTATCGTCAGGACCAGAGGCTACGGCTAAAACAGCCGCAGCTCCTAACCTGTTCAGTCTGTGGGATCCACGGGTGATTCCTCTTTGGATCTTTTGGATCTTTGTGAGGTTTTTACCGTAGTCCACGTGTTTTAGAGTTAATCTAAAACCGGATTTTGGAAGGTTTGTTTGAGGATGGTTGATTAATGGTCTTCTTGATGATGAAAGGGTGATGAAACATGAGAAAATGATAAGAAAGAAAGGTAGTAACAAAGAGGAAGAAGAAGTCATGGTTTGTATGTGTGAGTGGATTGATGAGAGATTAAAGGAGTGTTGGTTAGTGTTTATATAAAAGAGATGTTCGGACACAAGAGAAAGAGTTACAGAACAGAACAAAGTTAGGCGTGTAGGAAGATATACTTGGTAACTTCTTTCCTACTTAAACTGAGGAGTGGCTTTTTGGAAGTTCCATTCAAACAAGCAAGCCCTATTCTTCGGTTGTTAGTTGAGAAATTTCTTGAGTCTACTTTTTTCTCACCTAAACTTTTGAGAAACCTAAATGGGCCCAGTTGTGTTAGGCCCAATAACGTTAGCCCGTTAAAGGGAACAAAGAAGTTTCCTAATTTACTCAATAAGGAAAGACAAAAAGAAATGGAGAAGACATGACTTGCTTTTTCTATATGTAATGAGAGTTGTAGCCATTCTCTTGCAACTATAGTCCAAAACATCAAGATTTCACTGTCTTGTTTTCCAGTTATGAGTTGTCAACAAGCTTAAGTCCCCAGCTAATATCCTCACAGTGTCTAACATGAGGTACAACACTACCTGTGTCAATCCCCTTCTTTGCTTTGCAATCATAGTAAGGAGGAGCATGGAAACAAGGATCTGGTGACATAGCTCTACCACAAGGAGGGTTTATCACCTTGGTTTGATTCTCATTCTTATAAAGAATCCAAGCCCTTGATCCTCTAAGTCCTTGTGCTACATAACCAAATGTAGACCAAGCACTGATAACCAACTTATCGGTTAAGCTGAGTAAGTACATCTCTGCCCAAGCTTTCCTGTTATGCATTAGCTTCTCTGTTTGTTGATGTCCTTCATGACTTGGCTGATGTATACCAATCACATCTCCTGTTAAAGTTGGATTCTCCCAGTACATTGTCTTCAAGATCTCATAGTAACCTGTTGTTAAAGAAGTGACCAAGACAGCTTTGAGTTTAAACTCTTCTGATTCTGATGGCTGCTTCTGTTCTTCTCCTGGTTTGCTTAGTTTTGGTAACACTTCCTCGTTTTGAACACATGACAAGATTTGTTTTGTGACTTGAGGAGACACACCAGACTTCTCATCAAAGACTCTTATCTGAAGACCAATCCTCTCATCAGCTTTGGCTAAGTAAGCTTCATAGTATCTTGTGATGAGTCCCCATACATGATTCGAAGGATGGAAAAGGTAACGTCCCAAATGATGAAACACAGTTCCTTTCTCCGGAAACATCATACCAAGCTCCTCCTCAAACGAAGGGATCAAGAAGAGAGACGGTGCAAAGAAGTTGTTAGTCCTCATGATCAGCCAAGGAACATTCTTAAGCAAACTCTGGTCTTCTTCACAGAAGAACATTTTGTCGTGCTCGTTGTAGTCATGAGCTAGATGGAGATAAAGATAAGACAGAGACGAGACAGAAGAACCGTTGATCAGTTTCCTCCTCAGCATCTCTCCATGGCAATGAGGTGAGTTCTGAGCAAAGCCACTAAACTGGTTAGTTAATGTGAAGTGTTTTGGTAATAACCAAGTTGTGTCAAGGAACGGTTCGCAGAATAGGTCTGAGAACTGCTCTCCTCCTTCAACGAGCAAGACTCTATCCGTCAACATTGCATACAGAAACGCTGAGGCAATGCTGATGATTCTGTTACCTAGTCCACTAAACTCCATCCAAACAACATACTTGCATCCTTCTGATTCTTGAGTACCGGTTTGTTTCAGTTTAAGAAGCCTTTCAGCGTTGGTATAGGGTTTGGTTCCTGGTCCACATCGTTTGTGAAGCTTTTCATAAGCTCTAAGCTTTGAAATGAGATAGGAAGAAGGCTTATAGGTTGAAGCTTTACGGTAGAGGTAAGATTGGTATCTACTTAAGCATGTGTGTGTCTTGAAACCGGGAACAAGTAGTCCTCCAAGGAGAGACAAATCTACAGTATATGATGTAACATTCAAGAAACTTTGTAAAAACGTATCCCAAAAAGTAAAGAAACTTATAAACATATGTTTTTTACCTTTTGGATTCTGATCTCTCTGCAATGTTGAATCATCCTCAGATGTCACATTTGGTTTGATTTGGATGATTCTTGATGCTTTTGCAAAGCCATTTCCCTGATCATACGAGTCATGTCCAGAGAATATAAACATGATGACTAACAAAACAGGGACAATAACCATGAAATAAGCTAAGATCTCTGTGATTTTCATCACTCCAAACAATCTGTATCTCTTTTCTTGGACTAAAGTTTGTTCTTCTGGCTGTTTATCAGTGGCTTTTGGAAGAGATAATCTCCTCCTAGAGGGATTCAGATCCATTAAGAAACCCTAAGATTGGAAAAAGGAAAGTAAATATCAAATCTGATCTCTCTCTTTTACCCTTCATATGTGAAAACAATAATACAAAACAACCGGAAACTTTGGTATGACGAACTTTCTTGCTCTTTGTCTCTCTTATCTAATTTGGGCAAATGTCAAAACCATAAGAACTTGAGTTCTATAAAAATGCTCTTATTACAGCATATGATCAAAAACAATGTAAACCAAACCAAACCAAAAAAATCACACTAGCTTAAGTCCCCAGCTCATATCCTCACAATGTCTCACATGAGGAACTAGTTTACCCGTGTCGATGCCCCGTTTAGCTTTACAGTCATAGAAGGGAGGAGCGTGGAAACAAGGCTCCATAGACATAGCCCGACCACAAGCAGGTTCAGGAGCTGTCCTGTTCTCGGGTTTATACAATATCCACGGCTTTAAACCTCCAAGACCTTGAGCTACATAACCAAACGTAGACCAAGCACTTGTCACAAGACTATCAGTCATACTCAAAAGGTACATTTCCGCAAGAGCTTTTCCGTTATGCATCTTTTTCTCTGTCTGCTGATAACCTTCTTGACTCGGCTGATGAACACCGATGATTTCACCGGTTAATGTTGGATACTCCCAGTACATACTCTTTAGATTCTCCGAGTAACCTGAGTTCAAAGATGTGACAAGCACAGCTTTGTGTTTTGGGGCTTTGACTCTGTTAGATCTTTCTACTAATGTGTCTACTTCAGGTAGAAGCTTCTCTTTTCTAGTACAAGCTGATATCTGATCCATTACATGCTGAAAAGGACCTGCTCCTACGTCGAAAACCCTTACTTGTATCCCAATCTTCTCATCAGCATGTGACAAGTAAGCTTCGTAGTACCTAGTGACCAAGCCCCATACTTGGTTAGTTGGGTGGAAAAGATATCTACCCAAGTGATGAAACACTGTCCCTTTCTCCGGGAACAGCTTGTCTAACTCCTCATCAAAACCAGGGATTAGCCATAGAGATGGAACAAAGTAGTTGTCTGTCTTGACAACCAACCAAGGAACTTTCCCTATAAAGGTTTGGTCTCCTTGGCAAAAGAACATCTTATCATGATCTCCATAGTCATGTACAAGATGAAGATAAAGATGAGACAAACTCTTCTCATTATCAACCACATTATTCTTAAGCATATGTCCGTAGCAACGAGACGACTCTTGATTCAACCCATCAAACTGATCCCTCATGGGGAAATCTAAAGGTAGTAACCAAGACATATCAGGAAACGGCTCGCAAAAGAGATCAGCCATGTCTTTCCCTCTGTCTACAAGCAAGACTCTATCAGCCAAAAGCGCGTAGAGAAAAACCGAGGCTAAAGAGAGTATCCTGTTCCCTAACCCGCTGAAAGAAACCCACACAACGTATTTGCATTCACTGTTGTTATCATCAATGTGGTCTTGATCAAGTTGCGTTAGAGCTTTCTTGTAAGATTCAGTGCCCGGACCACAACGCTTGTGTAGCGTTTCGTAGCTTCTAAGCTTGGAGAGGAGGTAAGGAGATGGCTTGTAAGGTGATGGTTTGCGGTAAAGTGATGATTGGTATCTACTGAGGCAAGAAGCTTCATCAAACCCTGTGGCAAGTAGTCCTCCAAGAAGTCTATCGGAATCATTTGAATCTACAAAACAAAATCAGACAACTTAAGCTAAAGACAAAACAAAAGACACTTCTTCACCTAAAACAATCTTGAAGAAATTAAATCAATAAAGACTGTTTTTTTATAGAAAGATTCAAACTTTAGATCAGATGAATCTCCAGTTAAATATGTTACAGGAATTAAACTAATAAAGACTCTATTTTTTATAGAAAGATTATAACTGTAGATCAGATGAATCTCCAGTGAACTATTACTGAAATTAAACTAATAAAGACTCTATTTTTTATAGAAAGATTATAACTTTAGATCAGATGAATCTTCCAGTGAACTATATGTTAAAGAAGTTAAACTAACAAAGACTCTATTTTTTTATAGAAAGATTGAAACTTTGGATCTTTTGATACAGAACTATGCAATAAAGATCTAAACTTTGACTTTGACTAACACAACAAGAACCCATACCGGTGGTAGTAGTAACATTGGAGTAATCTCTGCCATCGAGAACTCTTGCCTCGGCGAAACCCATTGACCGATTTGGATCAGATGGGTGGTGATGGAAGATCATTGAGAATGCTAGTAGCACAGAGAATAGTATCAAGCAAGTTGTGAAGGTTTTGGTGAGCTTCATCGTACCGAAGCTGAGAAGCTTCATCGGAAGTAGTTCGGAGGAAGAGACGGGATTTGAACCGCCGGTGGTGGTGATCGGAGACGGTTTCCTCCTGTACGTATTCTGATCCATTGATTGGTCTTAGTGAAGTCAGTCACCGACTTCGTTACTTTATTTATTCAGACATGTCTTCATTAATTTATTCAGACATGTCTCCACGACAGATTTTAATTGAGAACAGTCAAAATTTCAACTGTATGTCCGCTCGTTTCTATATTATCACTCTTTTAACCAAAAACTTTGTAATGATCTGTTTTGACCCTTATGTAACAATTTTTTACTTCTTGTTAGTTTGTAATTTATGTTCTGAATCCATTATTAGACTCTTCTTTGTTCATTGAGAAGATAGCATATTGGGATATTAGAAACTAAGGAAAAATAGTGGGCTTAATGTTAAGCATTTAAGTTTAATTAATAAGATAATTAGTGAGTCCTATAATACCATTTAAAAATATGTTTTTTTCAGAATTACTAAATTTTGTTTTGTGAAATATTTGTTCTTTTTCACCACACAATGCAATCATTAATATTAGTTGATAGTTGCATGGACAATGAAGAAGACGTCACGAAATGTCTAGATGCTTAGATAAATGATTGGTTCGACTGTGGTTGTAAAAATTTAGCTGTACAAGTTTAGCCGTAAGTAAGTTGCTTAAATTTGTAAAATTGTACTATAGATCTTTTTGTATAGACTTTTTGATGTAGTTAAAGTTGTTGTAGCTGTAAACTGTAAGCTGTAGATATTTTAAATAAAATATGTGAAATATGTTATGTATATATAAAATAATTATTTTAGTATCAAATAAAATAAATTTATTAATATTTTATTAAATTATCAAAATTTATTGTTATTTAAAATCTGATATGTAAATAATATTTGTTATTTAAAATATTTCAATAATTTATAAATACCAAAAACTATGCTAAATATTTACAGATATCTTTTTATCATGATTATCTAATTTATTTGATATTTTAAAGGTAAAGCATGATTGGTAAAAATTAACATAAATTTTTGTATGTTTTAATTTTCAAAAATAAAGTTACAACATGATTGGTAAAATATTTAAAACAAAATAAAGCTAAAGCATGAAGATAAAGTTCAACAAATCACCCGCAAAGCTTAGGATGTTAACATGGATTAATTGAAGTTAATAACTGATAAGTGTCTTTCCTCTTTATTTATTACATGAGGAACTTCTGATATTATTAGAGAACAATAAAAAAACACAGAGTACATCGATTAGTGGATTCTCTAACTTCTCCCCCTCAAATGACTCATGCACTGGTGATCCTAATTACTGTGGCACATTTGGCAACTTCTAGAATTAACCACAAGGTCAAAAAAAAAACTCTTACAAGCCCTCTGATATTAGCATCTTCTTGATCTTGATAGACCAACTAGACTCTAATCCAGTCTTTATTGTGGATAAATACTGTAGTTGAAGAATCTCTCTTTACATGATTTACAAGAGACCGAAACAACTAGCTGTCTTTGTCGTCATCCTCGTCGTAGTTAAACGGTAATGGAACCGTCTTGAAGGCTCTGTACTTCCCCACATTGTTCACATGCTCATTCTCCAACCTTTTTGAATGAAACCAAAACCAACCCAAGAAAGTTATATTATATTATGTTGTGTGACGATAATTAAGCAGAAACACAATAAATGTCTAATTGTTACCTGAAGAAATTCCATATCCCACGGCGGATAATCTCTAGACTTGCTACAACGGTAATCATAGTCTGCCTGTGCATAAATGAGAAGTTGAAATCTAACACGGTCTGCAGCCACGCAAACCTAAACAAGATGTTCAAGATCTGCACATATTTTTTAGAGTTAAAAAATCAGTTTAGCTCTCTAATAATAATGAAGGTTTAGTAGTCGCTCACCATTGCTATGAAGTATACTTTCTTTTGTGGGACAAGAAGTTTATCCCGGAGCCAACGGTTCTTAGAAGTCCTGTTTAGAAGACCCCAGTCTAAGACCAAGTCCCAGTAAGTACAGAAAATGGCAGCAATAGCTGAGAAGATCACAGCTAACATTCTCCAGATAAATTTATGATCTTCATCAACAACACTGTAAGCCGTCCTGACGCAGACAGCCACTATAGTCAAGAAGTACTTGAGGCCATTGTATCCTTGCTCTGCGTTTTTCTCTTCAAATAGCCTCCTCAAGCACTGCACAAATGAACTGGGGATTAAGCAGATATTCTTTGAAGGAATTTTAGGAAGTAATAAACTGTTACATTACCTGAAAGAGACGCCAGACATATGGGACGGCAGCAACAATGAACAAGAAAGCATTGTAGACATCTGAGTCTGTGCAAGTGTTTTTTCTATGTTTATAATCTCCCCAACCGTAGTGACATATGTAAAATTGGACGCTTCGAATAGCTTGGACCTGGCTTGTTAACTGATCTCCCACTAAGAAATCAGGTAAAGTAACCTGCACGAGAAAGGCCAACAATAATCAAGATTTGAGACATGTTGACATTTTCAAATTGATTTATGTTTTAGAAAAACTGTTTAAAAATACATTTTTAATATTTTTTTATTAATGATAAATTGTAAAAAGTATTTGTTTCTATTGAAATTATATTGCTAAAACTTATAGAAAATAGTTAATCATAATTTAATATATTTTTTAATATGTAATAAAAATTTCAAAACATACATTTTTAAAAACAAAGAGAATATCACTTTTGCATGATCAGAGTTTTTATTGTACCTTGTAAAGAGGAGCAGCAACACAGTGAAAGAGGCAAGTGAGGAAGAATAAGCGACTCGAGCGGTAGAAGATGTTGAATGGTAAGACTAGAACAATAAACAAAACCTACATCACAACAAAGTTATGCCTGTTAGTATATATTGTCATATGTATAGCTTAGTTTCACACTGGTTTTGGATTTAGAGACTTACAATGAGCAGGACAAGAGGAAGAAGTTCGGTCCATTCTTTGTACTCATTAGTCTTGGGGTCAACCTCCATGTCAAGATTGGCAATAACACAAAGAAGGGCCAAAACTCCAATGCTGAAGCCCACAAGTAGAACTTGTCTATAGCCAAGTTCCCTTCCTTGCTTAAACCCAAATATGAAAGAATAATTCACTCGATACCGCCTCCAATAGTAAATGTTCCCAGCATACATAAGTATGTGCAGCACAATGAAGCCAAAAAAACTGCAACAACAACAAAGAAGACAGAGTGCATCTAAACAAAAAGATTCCATTGTTTTCAATTACTTGATATAAATAAGTAGGAATAAAGGCTAACCTGTAAAGAGGGAACATAGTGTTCATGTATTGATCTTGGCCTTCCTTCTGCAAAACGTGTCGGGTGCGTATGATGGCGAATAAAGCCACTATTAAAGAAAACACGCAACCAGCCAAGAAACCTAACAAACCGTACTCTCAAGTTAGAAACTGACAAGCCAAGATTGTAAGGAGGAAATAAAAGTATAATGAAATTTGTACCTGTGGAGAATGTAACTCGATGTCTCTCTCTTTTAGCTTTGGGTCTCAAAATGTTCATTCCTTTTGTTCTGTTACCATTACTGAAATGCTTTATGAACGTTGATTCAACACGCTCCATGAGTCTATTTACCTGAGACAATAGAGGAGCAAAGGTCTTAGGGAGAAATATGTGTTGATTCTGGAACTAGCATAAAAAATCTATGTGCAAATTTTTGTATATATTTTAGAATAGGAAACTCTCTTTTATTAGAGAAGAAAATTTTCTCAAGAGAAAAAAATAATATTAGATTTTGATACTGTTTAAATACGAATCTAAATGATTGTAAATTATTTATCTATCCCAAATTATGTACACACTCTAAAATAACTATTTGTCTCGATTGAGTTTATCTCTAAGTTTTCTTGTTTTTTTTTCGCTTTCCCAACATCAATCAACCGAATTGAATCAGAAAAGACATTTACCTCATCAGAGCTTCCAAGGTAAGAATTATCATCAACCATCTTCATGTAAGACTTTGTAGCATTCCTCGCAGTTATCTGTTAAAAGAGTGATATTCCCACGTAAAACTTTCAGCCATGCAGAACACAAAAAACCCTTATCAAAACCTCAATTCTTGAAACCAAATCTTACCTTATCATACTTCTTCATAATCTTCGAAAACGCCAACACATTCAAGAAGCTATAGCTTTTGAGTAGCCGAAGCTTCTGGTAGAACTCTACAAAGGCGCGTCTGAGCTTCTCCTCAACTCTCTTCAGATTCTCTCTGCTAAACTTGAGCTCTGTATTAGACACCTGGAGAACGCTTTTAATTGTGGACCGTGGCGTTTCCTTTGTATGGTTGATCGTTACACGATCCAAAACCTCGATAGGAGCTGGCCTCGCAGCTCTGAATCTACTTATTTCACCGGTTCCTACGTTGGAAACCACGTTAAGTTCTTCTTTCTCTACAATGTCATCATCTTCATCTTCGTCCGATTTGCCAGCTTTGCTCGATCCTCCTTCTTGTATCGCCGCCATGTGAGCTTGATGCGCTCGAACTTCAAATAAATCAAATTTCAATATTATGACTCGGTTACATATTGCTTCTTAAAGGACAATTCTCTTAAATATATATTTTTAAGTTTTTATCACAAAATATATTTTAAAAACTAAAATGATTAAAATAATATTTTTTAATTATTTTAAAAATTTGAAATCCTATCTCAGAATCCACTCATCAATTCTAAACAAAAAAAAAAATCAAATATTAGTTAATCTAAATGATATAAATATATATTTACTTATTTTTTAGAAAATATTTAAATTTATTTTGGTCATTTCTATTTTTAAGTTTTATATTTGTGATAAAATAACTTTTTTAGATCTATCATATAGATTTTCTGTTTGATAATATCAAAATTAATTATTAATTCAAACCAAAGAGCAATTTCACTGCAATATTTTAAGTAGACACCAACCGTTAAATATCGATTAATATTTGGAACCAATCACTACACTAACAGCTGTCATTAGTCGCTGCAACAATAAGCAAAAGTCAATTTCATTTTGACCATTTAGTACGGACGGTTTATGCACATTTTTTAGTCACACCGACTCATTGAGTTAGGTTACTTACTGGATCTAGCTCCGGCGGGAGTAGAAGCTCTGACGGCCGCCGCGGAGCTAGCGACGTCAGAGGCTAACTGATTCATCTCCACCGTCCTCTCCTCCCATGGCCACCCATCAGGATGCTCCACTTTCACACGAAACGCGATGAGAGCATCCATCTGCTTGTTGAGCATCACAGCTTCCTTCATCACTTCTTCCACCTTCTCTTTATAGAATCTGTCCACTTTGTTGAACTCGTCGTCTAGTCGCCGGAAAAACACCGTCTCGTACTCTCCTCCTTCCTCTGCCGCCATGAGGAACGTCGTCTCGTATCCATGACTCGCTGAGTGCACTAGTATCGGCGCTGACCTCAGCCCTTCTTCGATATCGTCGTCGGAATCTGAAAAGTGGCCGATCTGTCCACCACCGTGACCGTGGTGATGTCTTTTTCTTCCGGACTTTGCGAGTAAACCGCTGAATGATCGGTAGAGAGTTAACGTCCGGCGAAGGTGGTGGTGATGATGGGTGTGACCGTGGTGAGGGTTGTTTTTGCGTTTGAATCTGATGATATCTTTTAAAAGGGTTTTGAGATAATTGTAGTTCATGTAAGCTTCATGCCATTCCGGCACCATTTGCGATGAGAACTCTTTCCCGAACTTCATTCTTTCTTGTCTGAAATGTAATCTTTTGGTTTTTTTTCTTCTTCTCTGTTCTTTCTTGTTTGTGTTGTGTCTGAAGAGCCTGTGAGGTGTAACTTTATAGGGATGTGCTGAACAGTGACAAGTGTGTTCTGAAATGGTAACCAAAGCGCGTGTGGACTGTCCCACCTACATCAAATCACTTGAAACGAATCCAACAAGCAAAGCTGATTATTTTTTTAAATAATAAAATTTGATACTAATGAGAATTGTTCAAAGAGAAATCAGAGTGGGTAGTCTTTTTCATAGTCACCATTTAATAAAAAAAAAAATTGCAAAATAAACCTTCTAGTTCTAGATGCTATTAGAATCTAAGTCTCTAATTGACCAGAGAGGGGAAGTGTATTTGTGCATTTAGATTCGCTACAGAGGAAATGGGGATCAGTATGTTCATGAGGCGGCCAAGAAAACTAGGGTCTCCGTCGAAGACTACTTGTCGCAATAGGCGTTTTGATATTGACCATGTACATGTATGATATGTGATTGATTAGATCTTGCAATAGTTTAGATATTGAAATAAATCAACTTGGTCATATATAGCAACAAAGAAAAGTCTTTTTGTGTTTCATAGGCACATTTCTTAGTCTTTAAAAATATGTTCTTTTTCCAAAACTAGATACAAAGTTTGACATATAGTAGACGTTAGAATTACAGGTAACACTCGGATTATGCTTGAAATAGTATCTAAACACTAGTGAAAGCATTATAAAAAAATTTATGTACGTGTATATCAAACACATGTGTATTTGAACAGTTTAGTTATGCTTTAATACTAAACCCATTTATACTTACAGTGGATTTCAGCATAATCCAAATTAACGAAGACAGGATTTTATCTTTATTAAGACACAAAAATCAAGCCTTTTGAAAACTAGTCTGACCTATCACATTTTTACTGTGGCAGTCGCCCCCACCTTAAACATATATATGCATGCCCATGTCTAGAAATTGTCACAATTGAACTTTTCAAATACACAAAACTCTTTTTAATTTAATAATACTATAATCTTTCTAAATCAGTCAAGTTTATGTAAGTAATTCAACCTTTCCTTAACGTGTGATTTCAACCAATTATAATATATGAAATGTTTTATAGCCCATTACCCCTGAAAGGTATTGAACTAATGATGACTAATTGTATAATATTATATTAGTCCACTATTTACAATTTAATACAACGTTTGCATTTGTATCTACCTTACACAGATTTTCTTGGCTTATTTTATATTACACCATAAAATTATGTCATTAGTTGATGACATATTAAATAAAGGGTGTACAACCCCCCCCCCCCTGTTTTTCTCAAGCTAATAAACGGAGTGATTGGTTGAGCTTTAACTAATGACTTTAATTTTAGTTTATATTTACAACCATATAAATCACAAATCATATTTTAAGTAGTTTTTAAAGATAAAGTCAAAAAAATAAAAAAGTGGCTGTAGAAACCTTATTTTCTAAAACAAAAAAAATATTGTTGTAGAAATACTTTTTTTTTTTTTTCTTATTTAAATTTTACAATTACATTAGATACAATTACATCCAAAAATTTTACAATAAATTTTCTACAATTAGCCCAACCAATCATCTCTGACGTGTATGTAATAATCGATTTATCATGACTGTGTAGCTACAAAATTCTTTCTTTATAGATCTCAAACTTTCGTATTTAAATTATTTTAATTTCATAAAATCTAAAATAATTATTCCGGTCTTGGTTTTGACAAACCCCACACATTGTCACATGAATCATTCTTATGTGATATCGAAGTTAGCTACGTGGACCTCTATCTATTTGGACGTAAAAAGGCACGTCACAATCTAACACGTTTTTTACTTCTACCAAACAGCAAAACACACATGCCCTCTTGCCATAAATACAAATATTTTTTTTTCTTGAGAAAAATACAAATATGGTTCACTGAAAAGAGCGATCCACTTCTAAATTCATTGCCAATGGAATGTATTGTAAGTTGTAGACTTGTAGTTTTGAACTCCTAACACAATATCCAGTTCTACGTACATTGACTGAAATCACCGAGAAAGAAAAATGATAACACAAGCCCTTTGTCAAAAAGAATAATGATAACACAGTGTAAATTCTGTTATAGCTAGCTGTTTAAATAATACAATGTAACGTTGGTTTTTTTTTTTTCTTTTAGACTACTCTTTACTCGACATCGTGTTTTGTTATATGTAAACGTAAACATTAAGGAATGATAACATGATGTGAGTTCTTTTTGTTGATAATACAATGTAAGGTTATAGTATAACTCATTCAAAGAAATCTTTTGCAACATAATATGAGATTTACAGCATATGAATGCATAAACATGAAACTTAGAGCATATGTAAAATTCTATTGTCTTTTAAACTGAGTTTTACTCTAATTATATTCCTTTTTAGAATAATAATACAAAAAAACATTACTCTCAACACATTTTTATAGTAATTTATTTATAAAGTAAAATTTTTTATCTATAAACTCTATTTATAAAGTAAAATGTTTCTAGTAGTGCGCTATATCTTATGCCTACTATAGAGATATGAATAGCAAAATGCCGAATATAAAATAAGACGGTTCATTTACTTTATTGTAACATGAAACTTTTTTTTACAAAATGGCCCAACCTTTTATATATTTTCATTTTTCACATAGTATTAGTTTAGTACATCGTTTGTTTTTAATTATGTGTTAGAATAAAATTTGAGTTTTAAACTAATCGTTCAATTTTATAAATAGTGTAATTGTGGTATTATATTTTACTAAAATAAATGAAATTTAAATATTTAAAAATTTATGGATTTTACAATAAATTAATAAATAGAAAAAAAATATTTTGAATCTTCTCTTTTTAGCATAAAAATAGATGTAACTATTAGAGTAAAACTCTCCTCTATGTTCTTTTTACAACAACTCTCTTCTATTTTTAAAGTCTTTTTAGAGCAAAAAAATACAAACAACCATTGGAGGTAGTTTTATGGAATAAATCTATTTTTACTTCACTATTAGAGTGATAAATGAAATAGTATTGGATAACATTTTACTCTAAACTCTCTCTTGAAACAAGACATATAGAAATAGTGTAGTTGGCGATACTTTAAAAATGACGATTGAGAATATCAATATGAACTACCTCATCTACATTGCAGCTTTATGGGTTATGCAAGTTTTACTGATAATACTTTCTTGTTATTAATCCCATGAGATGTTATATTACCAACTTTGCTTATATTTTATCTCCGTCAATCTCAGTTCACATTTTTAAATTTTTTTGTTGTTGTTATAAGAGTTAGTATATTATGAAAAAGGAGGAAGAAATATGATACAATATTTTAATGGATTCAATTGGTGGTTTTAAACGGCAAACTCTTAAGTGTTAAAGTAAATGCTAAATAATTGCAGCGTTTTGAGTTAGTACTACAGTAAAAATTTTATAAATTAATAATATTGAGATTTTAAAATTTTATTAATTTACAAAAAAAAATTATTTAAATTTCTTATTTTAAGATATATTATTGTAAGATAAAATATATATTTGATTTTACTGTATAGACATTAATTATTATTTTTGGAAATTTGACATTTCTATTAATTGAGTTATATTATTTGGTGTATATAATATATAGAATTTAAATGTGGTTTTTAGATATAATATTACTAAATCTCATCAAAAATAAATTAAATATTAATAAAAAGAAAAGATAATTACATTGTGAATATTCAACAAAGAATATAATGCTAGGTTCTTATTTCTATAAAATATGTATACATATCAATTATTAATTTATAATTTTAATGGGGTCATATATTTACATAATTTTAAAAGAATTATTATTTTATTATTTTATCGATTTGTGTCAAAATTTGAATATGCCTAAATTAGAACCAATAAAATTTATTAATTTATAAATATTATTATTTATCCAATATTAATATATAAAATTTCTACCGTATTTTCATATTTTGATATCTTACCACTTTGTTTTGCCTTTGATTCGTAAGCATGAAAGCAATAGACCTATCGCAGTCGTGGTAATGACTACCAATAGAACCATTTGTATTTAGCTATATGCCTATGATAAAATAAAAGTTAAAATCTGATGCAACCAATATATATGACACGACAAATGCTAAATTAAAAGTAACGGTTGTCTGATAAATCACACTTTTAGAATGATTTGTATCTTAGCTACTTGTTGATAAGTCTAGTTCTCGAGCCATTTCTTTGTATCAATGATAACGTTAGCCATCCACTTTGACCCCCGATTTTGTCGGATTCTCGGTGGACAGGTATTCGGATACTCTATCTTATCATCCAACTCTTTTTCTTTCTTATCATCCAACTCTTTTTCTTTCTTATCATCCAACTCTATTGTGAGTATTTTTCAAACTTGTTATTTTTAGGAATCATCAATTTGGACATGAAAGTTATTAGCAATGAGTTGATTATATAGTTAGTGGTATATCTAATATTGCGATATGATATATCAGTACAACGTGGGAACACAACATCTAGAGTATCCGAATACCTGTCCAGCCGCGACACGGAGAAAATATCTTCTCATAGTGATCTAATTAATACATAATTTTGTCAAACTCTAGCTTGTTTCTTTTTCGTTTTGTAGAAATTCAGATTGAAATTCTTCAACATAAACGTTTGATTGGTATATAGTTGGTTTTCAAAGTGATGGAGCTTCAAATTTGTCCAAAAAAGTGATGGTCCTGATGGAGCTTCAAAAAAGTTTTATTACGTTACAAAGATTAACCGTTAAATGGTCATATTTTCTCCAAGTTATTCTATAATTTGCTATTGGTAAAGATTGATACGGTGGAAAACAAATTAATAAAGGCGCCATTTGTCTGTGTAAAGAATATCAAAGAGAATTATGTCGAATATATGTCTGTTTTTTTTTTTTTTTTGGTGTTCAAAAAAAAAAAGATGTCTGTTTTTTTGAAAATTTCA